GCCCTTCATCCAGTAGTGCCTGAATTTGAGGTAAATTTTGAATACATAGAGATTCAAGAGAGGTGAGGCTTTTGAGAACTTGGCTGCTAAATGTTTTCAGATTGTATATGGTAAGCCGTCGAATAAAGCAAGGCAACTCCCAATACTCACCAGCAGGAATTTCTTCGTCACTACCATCATGGTAGATGATTAAATCTCTGAGACAGGAGAGTCTCTGTAAACGCCACTCCTTTCGCCCATTCACCAGTTTGTTGCAATTCCAAATCTTAAGGACTTCTAAATTGAAGGGCAATCCTCCTTCAGGAAAAGACTCTATTTCTCGACAATTTTCCAGTTCCAGTTTCTTAAGAGATGGAAGGAGTTCCTGCATATGTTCTGGCAGCGACTTCAGCTTCTTGCAGTGGCTAATATCCAAAGTACGCAATGATGTCACCGAAAGTATTTCAATATTCTCACAGTTATAAATTATGAGATCTTCAGTCCCGTTGGGAATCAAAAGCTTTGTAAGGCTGTGGCAAGTTTTTACACTCAAATAGCGTGCTTGTGGGACCAACTCAGGTGATATCTCATCTATAGAATCACATTCTTCCAGTTTCAATTTCTCCACAAACATGTTACATCCTATAGAAATCATATCACCAACTGACGGCGCCAATTTCAGTTTCTCACAATGATATATGCTTATTTCTTTCAAGGTACTTGGCAGACTGCTAATAGGCAAAGAGGTAAGAGAGTGACAGTTAGTAATATATAATTCAAGAATCTGCTTCATTCCCTGAAATTGAGACAAAAACAGTTCAGCATGATCAAAAAGAACTCCAGCCTTAGGAGAACCTTCAACTTCAAACTTTTTTAGACTTGAAAGTTGGATAGGTGTCTCCAGATTGAGTTCCGGACAATTTGAAATTGTCAATATTGTCAGAGAACAAAACCTCCCAATCAACTTGGGGCAATTTTTAATTGAAAGATTCTGAAGTATAGGAAACTCTCCATTCCCTAGTACGTGCCACTGCTTCCACTCCAGCATCTCTGCAAATTCAAGTCGCTCAAGAGAGTTAAAAGGCTTTTTGGAGGATGAACTACCATAGAATTCTTCAGTCACCTCTGTTATTCGACGCATCCCTCTAATGATAAGGAATTTCAGAGAAGGAAGCTGGCCTAATGCTGGCAAGGAATAACAGTCCTTGCAGTTGCTTAGAGACAATTCCACCAGCTCAGAAAATGAATAATCAGCTCACCAAGTGTGCATTGACTACAACAATTATCCCTCTCGATGTACTTGTCATTCCAAACATCATGTAAAACAATAAGAAACCTTTTACCTTTTAAGCTATCCTTCAATTTGATTTGAAGCTGATTAAGATTGTTATCAACCATCAAGTTGGATGAATCAATTTCTTGAAGTAATCCTTTTGTTATTCTAGAAGCATCATATTGTTCAGACACACAAAACCAAGCTTTCAAATCAAAATGGTCTTTCACCTTCTCGTTATTGTAAACAGCTTTAGCAAGTGTTGTCTTGCCAATCCCCGCCATTCCAACAATAGGAATTACACTATACGTTTTTCCATCGGCATCAACAGACAATAAACGGTCAACCAAAATCTCTATTTCATTCTGCCTACCAAAGATATCAGATTCATCAACCAAAGAAGTTGAAGGTCCTCTTGTTTCTTGTTTACCAGAAACAAGATAGTCCTTTAGGCCAAGCCTACAAATCTGCTTTTCCAACTCCTCCAATATTTTAGTGGTGCCCTCCAACTTCTCCTTTATGTTAAGGAAAAATTCATCACTCAAGCACAAGTTGAGGTCACTTACTTGCTGGTTGCTTGTTTCTGCAAGATTTTGATTCTGACCTTCCACCTTAACTCTCACAACTTCATAATTGACTTCTTCTATTAAGTTTTCAGCACTGTCCACAGCATCCCGAAGTTCATTAAGCCACTCTCTCACGTATGGATTAGATGTCTGCTTATTCTCTGCATCACTTAGCACAGCTTGAAGACCAAGCAAAATCATCTTCAACCTCTTTAGCAGTCCAACATCATGCTTGCCCCTTTGGAACATCTTGAGCAACTCACCCTGAGGAGCAAGCCTATCAAAGAGAACATTCAAAGCTGAAGAGAGAAATGCACCTCCAACTGCTAAGCCAATATCCATTTCTGAAAGCTGCAAAGCAAATCACAAAATGATATAGTAACAATTTGGAGAGGATTAATATTTCAATCTTAAAAATAGCCTTAGGTTTACCTCTTCAATGCTAAGAGTAATATGCAAACAAGAATGCTCGGAGTAAAAGTCTAGCTGCGCTTCCGTGCTATTCTGTCTCTTGCTTTTGCTGAAAATAAAAGCAAAACTATCGTTTTTTTCTCTTTTCAAAAAGTAAGACTTTTAACCAACAAAAAGACAAAAAGTTCATAATAGAGACTTGTTTCTTAAATATTCATTGAATAATTGAGGCACGAGATGAAGAGTACTTGGGAGGAGTATAGAAAGGGACAGGGTGGGGGACTGAAAATAAAAGAGCCTAAAATGATAAGTTTTTGTAGGTGTGGCTTTTGCTTCATTTACTTTTTCACAGCTTATTATAGTGATAATTGGGCCTACCATATCATTAAAATGTTTTAGAAATTGTGGAGAGTTGGATTCTGTTGAATTATTGCTGAAGTTTGAATAATATCCTACACTCTACATTCTTGAAAGGCCAAATACACCCTTAAACTTTCTGCCGAATTTATTTTCTTATTATAGTATTTTTTATTATTATTATTTTTTATGTTCAAGGTTTTGTGATCTTCTTGCAATATACCTCTTTGAAGTTGAAAACTTAAACAGTAATAGGAAATTTTATTTGTGGCTTTAGCAGTTTTGGTATGTATGTCATTTGGCTAGGAAATAAGTTATCCCGGGATTAATTATTTCCGGATTAGTTATTTCCAGATTATTATTCACCCTCTCATATGGATAAAAATAATACTATAATCCTGAAATAACTAATTATGAGATTAGTTATATGATAATTTTAACCCAATCAAACATAAAATAAACTCATATTAAATTTAATCACAAGATTAGTTATTGATTATCCCTTGTACGAAACAGGCCTCTAGTATCTTAAATTTGAAATAGTCTCCACAAAGAGCTTTGTTTTACCTATTAATTGAATTGCAAGATAATATAAACTAGTATTCCTAAAACACAAAATTACGAGCGACAATGAACAAAAAGGGACAGACGGACAAACAACAAATTGCAAAAAGATCAAAATGAGCATGCCATCCAGAGAACAGGTAGCAAGTAAGAGTCAAATTAAAGACACTTGTGATCTACGTGTTACAACTAAATATCTTCTAATTATGGCTTTACATTCATTCATATCTTCTAAACAAACAGTACGACAAATTAAACTTTAATAAAAACAAAAGCTGTAAAACTTTCATAAAGCAAAGTTAATATGACAACTCTTGAAGAAATTGAACCACCATTAGCTGGGGCTAAAATTGTGGATGAGAATAATGATGAAACAGAGGACAAAGATTTTGAAAGACATCCTTCTTTTACTACTACGTCTAGACAAGTGAAGGTTTTTCCAAAACAAAAGAAAGTCAAGGTACCCCTTTTTCTTTAATTTGGGATTCCCTTTTCTTTAATTTGGGATTTTTTTCTTTTATAATCGTGGTGTGCGATCTTTGCTTGCATTTACCTTGATTAATTTCACGAGTCCTACCATCCCTTTTTTTGGATAATTGTGGTGTTCCGGATCGAGTAGTATAAATGACTGTAGCGTTCGAGCCAGCTTGCGTGTACCTCGATTAATTTTACGGGTTTTATTATTTCCTATTTTTTGGATAATCGTGGCGTTCAAACAACTGCACCTCGAGTAATTTTATCAGTTTTGCTACCAAGATTATCTGTCCATCTGAACATATGTAAAAATGACCTCTTGTTTTATATTTTCCTTTGCCTGAATTTGAACCTAAGACCTCCCACTATAAACTCCAGCTTCTCTTATTGAAGAAAAGTTATGACAAATGAATCTAGTTTTCTCATAATTTTGTTTTATTTTGATATATTTATTACCTCTAACTTTTTTTTTATTTGTAGAAGGAACAAGACAATAGAGCAAAGAAGAAGGAAGAAAGGGCAGTTGAAAGTATCAAGTCAAACCTTTTGATTTCAGGGGCTGTAATTGTGATCATTGGAGCTCTTTTTGCCATATCTAACAAGTTACGAGAATCTTAAAGAATCAAACTTCTACTTCTGTAAAAAGCTAAACCCTCCGCATGCGAACCGATGGTCAAGTTGTACTACTGTGAATATATCGAATTATATTTTTGATAGGTAAATTTTGGTATTATATTTGTAACTAACATGAATGCCATTCTTAAGGTTCAAATTTTTATCAACTTTAGTTGAGGCTATTCTTCTTGAGCCGAGGGTCTATATCGGAGACAGTCTCTCTATTCCACAAGAATAGGGCAAGGTATGTGTACATACTATCCTCTCCATACTTCACCTGTGAAATTATACTGGGTAGTTGTTGTTTAGTTGAGTCAATTCTTGCTTGTTCATCACTGCCTCACTCATCGCACAACACACCCTCCCTTTGCATTGTCCTAAATAAAAATGTGAAACCAAGGAAGTTGGTGCCTAGGAAATATCAAGCAGAAGAAACAATCTATTGGAGGCAAAACATCACTCTAATATGGAAAGAAGCAGATAAGAGCCGAAACCGCGTCCAGTAGACTTCCTGTTCCGCTCATCCCTTCATCAGCACTTTCATCAATACTGTACTACTACTTATGTTCCTAAACTTGGAACAGATGTCAGAGCATAGTATTATTACCTATGTTCCTAAATTCGCAACCATATGTTGAGGACAATATAGATGGCTATTGTCGGTGGCGGATGTACAACTATACGTACGAGACATCCAGAGCATAAATTTATGTGAAAATTTCAGTAAAATTATAATAAATAATAGTTATGAATATTTAACTTTATAAATATAATGGGTTCAATGCTAAAAATCTTAAAGTTTGAACAAAGTTTAAATTCTGGATCGTTATTGTCTACTGAACTGCTTTCTTCCTATGATATCAACAGGTTATGACAGGTAGAAAGGGGAAAAAACAAGCGCTGAAGTCGAGTTCTTTTTCCCTAATAGCCGCAAATCAAACTTAATTTTTAAATATGCTCTAATATAGACGCGATATTGTACATGCCGCCGGTAGAAACCATATCAAAAGGACATGAGACGAGGAAAATGTTTTCATACATGAGCTTGGTTTATTTTACTTGAGTTGTTACTATGAACGACGAATACTTCAGTCCTGTACTTCTTCAGCCTTGTCTTTTGACAGAAGATACCAACCGAGAGCACCAACACCAGTTACTAGTCCAGCTACTACAGCATAGTTGCGATACTTGTCGTCCGATACCCCGGGCGTTGAGGAGGTCTGTGCACTTGCAGTAGCATCAGTTACTGATCCTGACCCGCCAGAGCTTGTTGCAGCTTGTTCTGAATTAGGACCCTTCAAAAATTAAGACATCAGGCAGGAATTTTATGTAAAATTCAAAGGAAAAAAGTAACACATTCAAAGAAAGGTAAGGAATAGGACTGATACATAAACAGACCCTCAAGCTTGGCATCGGCGGGCAAGTATGCCCTCCAACTTTGGGTGTGCACAAGTAGGCACCTCAACTTGTATGAAGTTGAACATGTAAACACAAATGCTGATGTGGCACCGAAATTTTCGAGGTGTCTAGATGATTATTTTGTTAGTTGGAGTATTCAACTGACAAAGTGGAGACAAATTGAGGTGCCTACTTGTGCACGCTCAAAATTGAAAGGCATACTTGCCCGCCAAGGCCAAGTTCGAGTGCCGATTTATATGCTATGCCTACATAATAGGATGATTTTATTAAACGAGCTGCACTAAGCTAAGAGTTTCTGTAAGAGAAGAGGTTTTTCTTAACATTGAAAATTAGGCAACAAACATTGAAGTGGCTATCATGACCTCTAATTCTAAAAATGAAAAGGTGAAAGGAAAAGGTCATTCTAAAATTTTAATTTTCCATTCTCTTTGTTTTTTTTTTCCGATTCCGTTCTGCGTAAAGAAGAGGATAATTGTCCCGGCGATTCTCAGATCAACACTTGAAATGGCAAAAAATTATGAAAAGCAAGAAACATACGCAAACCCAACTAGGCAAGTAGTATGATGGATTTTAATTTATGTATTTCATGCCATGCTAGTGGCTTTCTTTAGCCTTTCTATTTATTTACTGTCTTTTACGATGCTGATACTGTTTTTCAAGTTTCTGTTGTTGTTACGGAAACAGCCTCTCTATTCCTCCGGGGTAGGGGTAAGGTCTGCCTACACTCTACACTCTACCCTCCCCAGAGCCCACTAGTGGAATGATCCTACTAGGTGGTTGTTGTTGTTGTTGTTGCTAGTGGCTTTCTTTAGTTATCAATCACACACCAACAGAGAGAGAAATAATCGATCAGTATATCAGGGAAAAAAAAAACATACCTTACGTGCAAGCTTCTCCAACTTCTCCTTCTCAACTTTCTAAGAAGTCAAACAAGACATTAACTAGTTAGACAACTGAAAGACAGAGATAACGCAGACACATCTAGTATGATAAAAAACTTCAGAATAAAACATCAAAAAAAACTTTTGAGTTATGACCCCCTTATCCGACAGAAGTATCGAAATGACATAAAAAATACACAACCAGCATATAATAAACTATATGCTTGTTTGCTAAAACTACAAAATATAGACTAAGAAATAGCTTCTTTCCTTTTACTGAAGCAAGAAGAGGGGTGGTGAAAGTTACACATATCTTTTCATTTCTATATTCTAGTGAAAAAATGAACTATTATATCCAAACAAGTCATGTCATTAAGGGTAAAATTGGGATGCTCATTTAATAGTTTCGAAATAGAGAAAGATATAATTCATCCTGTGACAGACTAAAAAGAAAAGTAAAATGGGACAGAAAGTAATTGATAAATACTCTCGTTGATGTTTGATGATCATGCAAAAGAAACAATGGGTGGATAACTAAAACTGATAGGCAAGCTAATAGCCTAGTACGGTGATACTCAAAATCAAGATGAAATAAGCAAGATGAGAATGAGAAAGATCAAACATCTAAAATAGTACACAACTACACATCACTGAACCATTGCGCCGATTATGTGATAGACCAAAAAAGTACACCATATACACTTGATTTTAGGCACGTTATTAAGCAAAACTGAATATCACCTTGATGTAGACATTTTCAGCTGCTCTTTCCTCCTCGCCTAGCACCTTGCCACTGCTGGAGAGCCTACGAGAAACATAC